GTGCTCATGAATGGAAAAATGCCACATTAAAATGGTCTTTGAGGGGTGCGTTTGATCCCTTCCATTCTTCTGTCATCTGAGGAACAGCATTTCCCCCTTGTGGAGGAAGCAGCTTCCCAAGTATCATCTGAGAACTAGAGACCTGCAAGTCCCTTCATCAAGACCCTTCATCTTGAACTTCCCTACTTCCAGAGCTGCGAGAAATAGATTTCTGTTCTTCATTAATTACCCAGGCTCAGGTATTCTGTTACAGCAGCACAATATCGACTGAGACGATGGAAATTAAAGCAATCTATAATACTATCATCCCACCACCCAGATGTCATCACTGTTGATGTTTTAAAGAATTTTCTTCCAGAATTTTTATAATCTGCTTTATTTTCATAAAATATTTTTTTCAATATTTCTTCCTATCATTATGATATATTATCCAATCTGATTTTTTTTTTTTTTTGCAGTTTTTGTCTGGGGGTGGGGTTTGAACCCGCCACCTCTGGCATATGGGGCTGGCGCCCTACTCCTTTGAGCCACAGGCACCGCCCTATTTTTGTCTTTTACATAATGTTGATAATGACCTGTATTTTGCCCCTAGTTCTTTCAAATCAGCACTCTTTAAATTGATGTAAATCTTAGAGGGACATTTATGACCCTGAATAAATGAGTTTGGGAGATAAAAGAATACTCTTAGCTGTTCTATGACTTTAGACCGTTTTGAGTGGGATGGGAGTGCTACTCACTTCTGTCTTCCACTAAGCTATAGCCAAGCCCAAATTACACATCCATTGTTCTTCCTTGTATACTTCCTCAATTTTCACGGACCTCATGTTTTTATTTTTCCCAAATATAAATTATGAATACATTGTAGCAAGGGATCACTGAGAACATTAAAGGTAGTTTTTTCACGGATTTTTTTCAGTAAAAAGTCTGGCTCCCAGAAATAAAAGGCACTCTTAAAACATAAAATGTCTTTAAATAGAGGTGCAGATAGCAAGTGGATCTTGTGGCCTTTGGAGGGCTGTGACTGTGCCCCTCGAAGTGAATGTGGGGGGTTCTACGTCCCCTGTGGCCACCATCTGCTGGGACCAGAAGCTGCAGCCACCTAGCCCCCCAGCCAGCCTCAAGTTGGGGTCCCCAGGCAATTGCTGTGTCTGACAGGATGTGCTGGGTCCTTGGGCAGGCATTCTATAGGTTTGCCAGCACACTCTGACACCCTGTGCCCTCCCCTCTTTTGTAGATCTAGACATAGGGTACCCGGGCCCACTCAATCCAGATCATGAAGGTGGAGGAGATTGCAGCCAGCAAGTGCCAGCACCTGGCAGTCAAGCAGTTCCACAACTCCAAGATTAAGTTCCCACTGCCCCTTTGGATCCTATGTTGGCAGCACAAGCCACCCTTCACCACCAAGAGGCCCAACACCTTCTTCTAGGTAGAGGGCCCTTTCCCCCAATCTCTGCCCAAATAAATTCAGTATGCCCAGGAGCTCAAAAAACAAAACAAAACAAAACAAAAAGAACAATAACAAAAACAGTCTTCTTCCTTTTCATTTATATTCTAAAACACATTGAGGGTTGCCCCCTTGCAAAGAGTGGTTCCCACATATTCTAATTCCTTAGTGTAGAGTGTGCAAATTTGCATTTTCACCTCATTGATGAAGAAGCAGTGGGCCAGAGAGGAAAGTGCTGAGCATTGAGCCTGAGTCTCAGTTCTTCAGATACCAAGGGCACATGGATCATCTTGAGAATCTTTTTATCTCTGTACAGAATTGTTAATATTTCCATTCTTTCTGATCCTGGTTGGTGTTGTAGATATCTCATTTGCCTTTACTACTGAAATTCATTTTACTTTGATGATGGAAATAACTCACATCTGGCATAGCATGCATCTATAACTATATTGTACTGGCACATATAACATCTGTTGGTAGATTGTATATGGGAAATACAGATCTGGCTTGTTAGTGTTCTTAAAAATGGCTGGAAAACTATCCTCAGGGATGTGGTACTATTGTAAAATTTGAGTATAACCAAGCTTGCTCTAGAAATAAGGATTGAATTCATAAGGCAATTTCCTTAGCTGCCAATATTAAATGCATAAATTTCTTCTTTTCTCCTATTAAATTTAATAATAATCTTAATTTTGCCTAGACATTTTCATGTTTAAAGAATAAGAAATAGCATGATTCTCTGCTCAATACTTGCTATTCTGAAAAAAAGCTACTACAAATTATCCAGTAAATAGAACCACAACCTTCACAAATCTCTACATGACATTTATTGAATCTCTAGTTTTAAACAATGTTGCAAAGTTTAACAGGGTTTAGCAATAAAAACAGGCATAGTCTCTCTAGGCTAACGCCATATTAAATATATATTTTTAAGGTCACGGTAGTTCAGCATACTAGGAAGTGATTTGGACCCAGAAATCAGTAGTTTATATACTTAACTCTAAAGTGAGAATTTTTGTGATATAATCAAGTGATAGCTTAGAGACAATATCAAAAAGGTGAAGGAAAGAAAGGTGAGGTTTCTTATATTATTATGCTGAGGCTCTTGTGGATAAGTTTAGTGTTCAGGGTTCTATGTTTTCTCTCTTAGAAAATGATTTTTCCTTATCTAAAGAGTATAGATAAGTGTCTAACAAATATAATTGTTGGAATAAAGTCACAAATTAAAAACAATATTTTCACATACTAAAGTATTACCTTCCAGTATTTTCATGAAATAAAGAAAATTGGGTGTTGAAATGAAAGTCTGTGTGTGTTATGCTCATATATACACTTAAATATTCATTGAAGTATAGAAAGGAAGAAAGACGTCAATGTGTTATACTAGCATTGATACACATGAACACTTATATGTATATTTTTATGTGTGTGCTATACATACGTACCTATATGTACAAATATGTGACAGAATCGTGAACCTTCCCAATTGCTTACTCCAAAAGTAACTGATTTGATTGTTACTGATGATGCTGGATTTACAATCTACTTTATGAGACAGAATAGAAAAATAATTAGAACACAAGTACAAAAATCTTACAGATTATAGCATCATAACATATGCATACAAGGATCCCTTTCTTTATATAATTTTATGTCCAACATGGCCTTCTGGAAACCCACTACATTACAAAATTTGTTTATCAGTCCGTTCTTTTGTTATTCATCTAATTGTTTTACTTTTCACATTTGAAAAAGCACATGAATAGAATGTGGATGAACTGCCTGTCTAAAATATTGCATTCATATTTAAGTTAATTAAATCTCCTTTTACTCAAACAACTCCATGGAAAGAAAACAAGTAGCCTAATTAAAAAATAACAAAAGACCTGGATATGTGTTTCTCAAAAGAAGATATACAAATGCCAACTATATGAACAGGTGCTCAACATCACTGCTTGTCAGAGAAATATAAGTTAAAACCACAAGGAGATACTACGTACCTGTTGGAATGTCTTTTAGCAAGAAGACAAAAGATAACAAGTACTGAGAAGGACATGGGGAAAAGGAAACCCTTGCAATCTGTTGGTAGGAAGGTAAATTACTGTCGCTATGATGGAAAAAATATGGCAGTTCCTTAAATAATTAAAAATAGAACTATCGTGTGATCCAGCAATCCTACATCTGGGTCTGTATCCAAATGAAAGGGCACAAGAGTTACGTACACTCTCCTGTGTATCTGCAGTGGAACAGTATAGATATCTTATCCCACCCACCAAACTCAAGATGTGTGGATTACATCTGTGTGAAGAAAATAAAGACTAACTTTAAGCTTTCTCTGTAATAAAAGAGATCTGGAAAGAAGAAACCAAACAGAAAATGTCAGGAAAGTAAGAGGAACTGTGTTTATTTCATTTACTTCTACCTTGTTTGCTCTTATATTATACATGTAATAATGTGCGCTGAATTAATCGATTAACTAATGGATGAATTAATACAAACTAAGACCAAAAAAGTGTTTCAGAGTGAAAATGCACATCTATTGCTGAGCTCAATGATGTATAAATGTGTACATAAGTGCATGTTGACATGGTTTTTTGTTTGTTTTAGTAATTTGGGATTCTATGGACCCTTTCTTTTCTTTCTTTCTTTCTTTTTTTTTTTTTTTTTTTTTGCAGTTTTTGGCCAGGGTTGGGTTTGAACCCGCCACCTCTGGCATATGGGACAGTGTCCTACTCCTTTGAGCCACAGTCTCCGCCCTGGACCCTTCTTTTTGAGATTTTTGCCATGGCTGCCAACTCTAGAGAAATAATATGTGTACTCCCCACACTATCTTGTTATACCAGCTCCAGCAGTAAGCTCTTGACTCTCGTGAACCAGAGCAAAAAGTAAACAAACCAGAGTGGGACGGGTGGGAAATGATGAAAGAAAACACAAAGGAGAAAGACGCAAGATACAGAGCTGGAACTGAGAGGCAGAGATGGGATAGGGAGGACTGGGTTATTTTTCTGGATCACCAGCACCCGACTGCCTGAGCAGCTTTATTTTTAAGAAGGCAGTACAAAGTTGTTTATCAAGGAAGTAAGATAGATTTTCAACTGAATTATAAGAGAAACAGGCACAAATTCCCAGGCAAGTATAATCTATTATTACTGCATGACCTCTAAAATATGGGCAATACTACAGATCTAGCAGACTAGCTGGAAATGTACGTGATGGCTTTGAAGTGCAGCTGTGAAGTTAAAAGCTAAAGTTTTAAGGAAAACATGGTTTTCTTCTATTGGGTTAAAAGTGGAAGCTTAGAGATAATATGTTATCTGTTGAGGAGGGTCCGTAGAAGGGGGGTTCGTCCCCTGGATGTTCTCCCAAGCTGCAGGGGCCCTGCCACCTCACAGCTCTCTCTCTACAACTGACTAAACACCTTGTGCCAAAGCGATTTCGTAAGAAAGATACTGAGACCTCGAAGTATCAGCATAAGTGCTGGAGAAGTGAGCAGAAGAAAAAATCACTTCCAGAATTCTAGGAGGCAGAAATTACAGACATGGTTTTGCAGAAGAAATTATCTGGCTATACTGACTTCAGTAAAAATATGGACTCCAGTATGTTTTTATATCTTTGCATGCCTCTGCTTCAATATTTAAATTCCAGGAAGAGAATGTATGCTGTAGCATGCTGGGGCAGGAGCTAATCCCTTTTCTCTGTCAAGGTAATAAGATGAATAAATGAGATCCTTGGCTTAGATGGTGTCCACACAGCTGCTTCTCTTCCTCCCATAAGACTACACAACTTGCAGGGGTGGGGATGTAATTCCTCCAAATATACAGAATAACTACTACAGATGTCTTCAAATGGAGAAAAAATTTTATCTATCACTGTGTTAAAATCACCCTTCAAATATTGTATCATATAGAAAGTCACGTTGACACAATTGGCCAGGAGAGCAATCCTCAGCAGATTTAAATGTGCTCCATTTCTATTTGCTTTCAGAATCTCCCAATTTCCAAAGTAGTTCATATAAAAACGTTAGGCCTGACTGAAAAGACATAACCCACATTCAAATGTCAGCAAGTCAAGATAAAGCAATTAAAAACATCTATCAGAAAGTTAAAACGCATTTTCTATTTGAATCACCAAAATATTCATTTTAATTAAAAGTGGTCTACTTTCATTATACGTGTTGATTATACTAATACAGAACTATTTCTGTTGGTAAAGAGGATAGCCGTAGAATTAAATTAGAAAAAGCATGGCCTGAGGGATATGGAAAACTGTGGCCAAAGACATTTTTATGCTATTAAAGTTGAAAATAAGCATCAATTCCTTGAGGTTTGGAGTCATTGGACTCCACTGGAAGAATCTCTTGGATAATTTTGTTCTACTTCAGAGGATGTTTCAGCATTGCTGCAAAGTCTGATGTAGAAAAAAAAAAGCACAAAAGTTTATTTTGGTCTGTTTTTGTGATTTTTTTCACATATTCTTGTTATTGTGATAGTGGGGATTTAAATAATCTGTCATCCTCACTATCACACACAGGGCTGTCCAGTAGCTGTTACCGTATATACATTGTGATTTGTCCCACTGATTTTGTGCTGCCAGCTGCTGCAGAATGTTCTGATTA